ATCATTAGGAGTCGAATATCGGAGTAATTCCTCACATTCCCATAGTTTGTGTGCTCATACAGCTAGGTGGAGAGCTGAGCTTATCTCCATAACCTATCATTGCAGTTTCCATTCTAAGGGGGTATGTTCTGTGCTTAAATCAGTGCGACCGGAATGGAGGTTGCATATGGCCGACCAGTCGGCCGCTTTGGCAGTGGCGTAGGGCATTAGTATGATAAAATGTAGTATACACTGATTATATATTCGATCAACATAGGTTAATCTGTTGTAGTGAAGTAATGAAGCTTGACGAGATTATACAGATCCTTAAATTGAATTAATATGTAATTATCTAGCGCCTAATTTAATTGAAGACCATTGAATTTAAAAATCTAATTAGTTTAAAAACAGGTTGCGGGGAAAGGCTAAATAAAAACAAACCACAATTACAATATAATAAATATATTAAGGAATTTTGAATTATTACAAGTACTTCTATAATGTAACATAAACTTATATTAAATTCTGCAGTCTATATGGTTAGGTACTTTTATTTTTTTTTACAAATGTACGTAAATTTAATTTATTAATTATAACTATGTATTATAATAAAACTAAATTTGAATCAATCTTGTGTTCGTATTCCATCGTAACCAGAGAAACAGTTATTTTTAAGTTAATTTACATGTTTGATAATTTAAATTTAATCAACACGCAACACAAAACGATAATAATGTTACCCTAAGCTACGCCTATGTAAAATGTTGCGATTCGTAGGTTAACTTAAATGTCATTCGAATAAATTTTTCACTTTTAAACATTTAATTAGGATTACAAACACTTTCCTGTGAATTGTCACACCACAAGTTTTATGTTTTGGTGTTAGGGAACAACCACAAGATACACAACTGACCATATTTTATTAACGGCAAACGACGAATCGCATGAACACGTCAAACCATCAAACTAACGATGAGTCATACGTGGAGGTTCAACATGGCCGCTTTCGTCTCTCGCTTTCTCTGAAGGGTAGTTCGGAATGTTCCTTCCTGTTAGTTTTATATTCAAAGGAACAGACGACAGGAGCCTTATTTTCATGCGTTGTAAAGTAATGTCATGTAACTCTGTGAAGCAAGATGCCACACATCCATAAATAAATTTTGGTACGGTATACTTAGAATACAGTTAGTCTGAGCGGGTACGAGTAGTAGAGAGACTGGCTTTGGAGTCGTAGGTTAGGATGGGTGACTTGATTTTCCGATAACGATTACTGATTACTACTCGTTTGGTAGCTTGGTTTGGTATTCGTTACTTCGGATACTGATGAGTAACAAGTACTCGAATACCGATTAGTTACTTTTTTCCCACCACTACTTTTAATCAATGTGAAGGCTTTTTTTATGTCATTGAGACCTACGTCCGTCCCACTAAGGGGGACCTTTTTTTGTCACCAGCCTTCATGAACTCATGGAATCCAGAAGACTTTTTTTTGTTTTTTGGTCACTAGGCCTCATGCATGAATCTCTGGTACGGTAAAATACGGTATTTTCAAAAGGCTTGTACGGTAATAATTGAAAAGTTGGCCACCCTGCATATTACCAAACTCTTGATTCAGTCAGTTCTGTGTTTGCTCATGATAGTAAGATTCTCACACATGTGAATTGTCACTTGCCTGGCCTAAACCAGGTGAATGAAATACAAAAATTCCCTAGGAGTACTTACGTAAACGCATGAAAATAAGGGTCGCCCAGGAATAGGGTCGTTGCACCAAATTTTTTTTGGTTGAAACTTTTCCCAAATTTAGCGTGAGGATCGTTTAGAAGAATGCCTAAAGCAAATTAAAAAAAAATTATATCAAAAAAGGAACGAAAGTTACCAGATTTGCTTGCAAAATGACGGCACGCGAGAACGTTGTTTTACTGGCTGTGACGTAAAGTGACACAAGTCCTACGCTAGTTATATGAATGCAGCAGAATGTACACTTGCATATTGCATAGGAGCAAGCTAAGGGTTTTTATTACATTAACATTTAAGGCATAATAAATATAGTTTATTATGCCATCTGGGTTTGACGATATCGATATTTTATGGAATTAGTGTCTTTTCACACGGGCCACTCTGCAGCGCTTCTCAATGGCGCTGCTGAGAAGCGCACGTTAACCTGAAGCAGACTGAAGTGGCTCGTGTGAACGCCAGTATTTGAACCAATGTATCGCTATTAGTGGAGCTTCTTTTTGAAGCACTTCTCGGCGGTAGTCAACCATTGAACGCCACAGAAGCGCTGCTAAAACCGTGGTCGCGCCCGTGTGAATAGCTCCATATAAATCAATGTATCTTCAAAACGCGCTTCTCAGCAGCGCCACTGAGATGCGCTGCACAGTGGCCCGTGTGAAACGGCTCTTAGCTTTCTTGTAATCTGACCATCACCCCCATGACAACTCAATGGGATAGCCTTGACCACAAAATTAGTTCGGT